ATATAACTCATACGTAGACCGACAAATTTTGCATAAGTTTTTTTAGAAAAAACAAAAATCATTATACAAATGTAGTATATTAGAGTTGGGGGAGAATCGACTCGATTTTATCCATTCACTATTACCATTCCATATACTAAAAAATGTTCACTGAATTTCATAAAGCTACCACACATACAATTATCAATCATATATTGGCCGATGTATGCAGGATAAAGTCACCTTAGTTTATATTAAGCATTTCCCCGATTTAACACATTTTTGATGCACGGAATTACTGTTGTCAGGAAAGGATTCTGTCTGAATTCCAATTGTATATCTGATATTTTGGGTGCAAAGCCGACTATAGATACTGGGGTACACATATGTATGTATTTGATACCGCCCCTAGGTAGCCCCCTTGAACAGTTTTTAATGGATTTTGACATTTTTGGATAATATGGTGGCATACTCTAAAGGAATTATTAGTGCAAAATTATATGCTGTAATAATATATTACATTCTTGATTTGCTATTTGTGTTATATGGGAAGTAGGCAAGGCTGTAGTCCGATTTCGCCTTTTTCGCACTGCAACATAGGAATATAAAAAGAATGCCACGTAATAAATTTTGTCGAAATCGGTTGATGGGGTGTGAGATATGTGCTTTCACCTTAAAGTTGACCGTGCCATGCCCATCTTATACCCTCTCGGTGGTAAAATTAAATGTCTGTGGACTATTTAGTTATTGATTTATTGTTTTGAACAATACCGTTATGTGAAGATTGAGCGGGAATATCTTCCGATTTTATCCTTCACACTGTCGTTAATATTTGGGCTGAGTAAATTTTGTTATTTTAGCTTTAATAGCTTAGGAAGTATGTACATTAAACTTCTTAGAGGGCGGCGCCACGTCCACCTTTGCGCACAGCGGACCCTAGCTACTTCGATCGCCTTTTATCAAATTACAGTTTTATATCTTAATTTACTCCTTGCTTATGACACTTCATAGGATTGCGGTTAATGGCGTTTTGTGGGCGTGGCAGTGCTCCGATTACGCCCATCTACAAACTCGAATTTTTTTCTTCCTTAGGAACCCGCGTGCCAATTTTCAGCGAGAATTTATATGGCTTTATTGGCATTGAGATAAATATCCTAAAAAAATGTTTAATAATTTCGAAGGAAAATATTAGTGCACGGACTGATCTTGAACCAAGTTAATCAAGTTATCCTACTGACGTGCTTACGATTTAAACTAATTTAAAATAAAACAAGGAGTGTTTTCAATAATGTACAAAAAGTCCGAATCAAGTTACTCACTCCATATATAATATTAGAGAAATAAATTCGCAAGACAAGTCTTTTTTCATATTGAAACTCTTACATAAATTAATAGAATAAGATGTGTTATTGATTTATTTTGTTTTAAATTTTCAACTGACATTCTAGATTTTTAAATTATTTTAGTCGAGATTGTAGAGAGATAAAGAGTCTAGTTACAGAAAATGCACATTGATATCACTTTTCCAATAATGTATAATAATATATCTAATACAAAATATTTTAATATTAATGATAACTTTTACGCAATGCTTCCGAATAATATGCCTGAGCAGTATTAAGCAACCCAGTATCTTGAAAACCCAGCCGACTTCCTTTACAAAATATAAATATATGTAGTATATAGTAAAATGATTTCCCATTCATTGCTAAATATTTCCTCTTCTTTCTTAATTAATAATATTTAATATCGTCAAGTTCTCATTACTGCAATAATAAGCGCTTCTCGATATTACGTAATTTAGGCAATAAGTGCATAAAACCAAACTGCCTCGAAATGCAAAAAAAAAAAAAAAAAAAAAAAACATATATACAACCAAAACTCACAACAATAAATATTGCTTGCATAACACGCTTAAGTAATAGGCACAACAAGTAACGTTTATTCATATGTATGTGACAAAGTAATAAGCAAATGTTATACTGCAAGCACATAGGCGACATAACCTTGGCGACGTCTGGCCGTGGTTCATCGATCGTTCGCGGTTGATTAGGAACTTCATAACTCATTTGCCGCTACTTTGCAGCGTTTTGTCAACCTTTGAAAGCGACGTCTATTAGCACACAATTAGCATGTATAAATAGACACACATATTTATAGTCGAACAAATGAATCACTTGTGCGGACGGCTAAAACCCCAAAAACAAAAACAATGATGGCATAGAAAAAATAAATATTAACTAAAATCAATAAAATAAAAATGTTAAACAGAAGCAATAGGCTAAAGCAGATAATCAGATTTGTTGTGTCCAATAACTTTTTTGAATAACTCTTTAGTTTTTCGTTTTTGTTGTTTTTTTACTATGTTATGTTTTAGTTTTTAATGAAACTCGCTTAATACAGCGGCAATATTGTCGAGCGCACGCTTAATTGCGCTGCTGTGCGACGCATCCGCTCCGGACTGCTGCGGCGGTGGTGTGCACTCATTAGCTGGAACTTAAAGGCACACGCACATACATATATATATATAAATATATAGTGCCAGCGCAGTGTTTCCGTTGACTGCCCACTTGGACAGCTGAGTGACCAACGCAGCGTTATGGCATCGCATCTTCATAATTACCAGCGCTGGCTGGATGTTAAGCAACAACCGAAAGAAGCAACAAAAACTCCCGAAAAAAATTATGTCGCTTTTTGCTGGCTGAAATCTCCGAATCTCCGCTTGTAAAGTTGCTTGAGTTTTTATAGACGACGGCTGAGTTTATTCGCTTGTCATTTATATGCATTTAAGGTACATGCTTTTGCTTAGTCATATTTACGGTTATAGCACATACAAATGTACATGTATGCTTCTCACGTTTGTAGGCACAAAAAAAACGAAAAAAAAAAAATGAAGCAATTTCTGACACGTCGATTGCTACTGGAAGTGTTATTATTGGTTACAGTGGGATGGTTTGGTAATATTTTTTTTTTTTTTTGTGTGGTATTACCTAAATTGGAGAATGTTTTTATTATTTTTTTTATATCGATTATCAATACATTTATTAATATATTTTTAAACAGATGATTCTTTTTATTGATGCGTAACTAAGCTATCACTCTTCTTTTAAGAAAATGCAATTGGTTCCAAACGAATTATTCGAAGTATTGCCCAACGCTAGTCACAACTTTCTCCCATCTTTCTGGCAAAGCTCGAATACAATTACGGTCGAATTGTTCTTCTTAAGATTTTGTCAAGAATCGGTACTTCTGAGCCAGATCATGAGCTATCGAACAGAACGAATAATACTCGCACGGTATAGTATCTTATGACTTCCCACTTTTCAGGAGCCCATAGTTTGTATACTATTAATTTAAGATCTCGACGTAAAATGCGCCAAGTTGTTTCATACGACCGTTCTGGTTGCGGCAAACGACGTCGAATCGGTCGAATATTATCGAATAATGAAATTTGGGTCTCAAGATGGGTGACGGTGTTGCGAATAGTACGCTTAGTAGGTCGATCATGTTGACCATAAATTGAGTGGAAGCGCACGAAACACATTCTTTACAGAACGCGAAATTTCCAAATAAAGTTGAACGATTTATAAACGTTGTTCAGACATAAGTTTTTCCATAATGAAAACCCATTCAATGCCGAACAACAATAACAATGACAGTTTGACATGACTCACGCGTGATCTATCCGAAAAATGCTATTGATAAAAGTACATCTACTTAGATCACCCGTCACTGTTGATGAGGGTACACCAAAAGTCATCAAAACGTTCGTGAGACAAAAACTCTGTTGACCAGCGTAATTCAATTTCATTGAAATACTCTTTAAGCATGGATTTAATTTTTATTATTTTAACCACCCAGACTGGATTGCATTTTAATTCACTAATTTATTTATTTTGAAGCAGGCCTCTAAAACACTCCGTCGAAAAATTACTTTATCATTTGTTGTCCACAGATGGAGGATCTATCAGATATTAAGCTGACAAAAACAGATGCTACACTTTGTTCTTAGCCATAAGGCCGAGAAGCCAATTATAGAAAATTTATAGCAATCATTTTAGGATTTTTAAATAAAAAAATAAAAAGAGAACAATCAATATAATAAATATCTATACTACTATATAAGTAAAAAAAGGAAAAGTATTTCTTGTCTTCTACTTTTTTATTGGAGTATATATATTTCTTATACAACCAAACAATAACAACGAAACATATTTACTTTTCGTTAATTGAAGACAACACTCAGACGCCCGCCCGTGTACAACAGCTGAATACCGTGTTATATCGTCATTGTTGCAATAGTTGTTGCTTAATCACTTAAATCGCATACGCCTTACTATTTTGGTATGCAGTGGTTGTGTTTTCAAAGCCCCTCCACAAACACCAAAACGCCATACATTTCTCCGCCGTCACTTACTCTTCGCCTTATGCACCCTTTCTTCAACTACAATAATAACTCATTGCGGTCTTTGCTATTCTACCATTTCTTACATGCTTTCTTGTGTTTCATTTCGCTCACTCTCTTTTCCTTGTACATTCTCCACACTTTTTTACTTGTACATTTCCAGCTTACACTCTGAGCGCAAACTACGAAAAAACCAAAGACTTAAGCAACAAACTCGACGCAGCCACAAGTTCGCCGCCAACTCGCTGCAAAACTACAAAGCGTGTGCCTTGTTGCAGAGGTGGCGGTTGTAACTGTGGGCTCGCGCAAGCTTTGACTTGCGCTGCGAGCGCATGCGCATTCAGACTTCTTTGCGATTTCAACTCATGAAGGTCGTTGCCGATTTATCATTGGGTTTTACCATCACGCGCTTATCGATTTTTGTGCGCTCATTGCTTGGTGTTCGGCTTTTCGATTACACCATTCAAGCTCTCGCGCTGGTCCATGAGATAAAAACGATTTGGCAACATTGTTGTCGCCGTCGTCAGCGTCGTTGCTGTTGTGTCGTCGTGGCGTGATCGACTGCGCAGCTATCGGCTGAGCGCAACTGTATTTTGGTTTTTTACCGTTAGCTCATGCCGCATTCGATTTTATTAACGTTTTTACATTCGTAGAGTACGCGCGCGAATCGCTCTTCAGCTAAACGGTAAATAAAGACGTGATATATATATTTAAAATATATATATAGAAGTGTGTGAAGGATTATTTGTGCTCAAAGGGATAAAAAAGGATTATCAACAGATTTTGATCAAAATATAAACAATAATATGTTAAATAGATTTAATTTCATAAGAAAACCAAGAAATGAATTTTTGAAAAAAAATTCAAAAAATTTTGTGTTTTGAAAAATTTGTGTTTCTAATAAAAAAAAATTACAAAATATTATTCTTAGTATTGATTGTGAATTTTGTTTCAAAATATAATATTCTTTAATTAAGAAAAATATAATAAAAAATATTATTTTACGCCACTTCAGCTGCTTTAATTTCGTGGCGCCATTGTCGCACCGTTTCCATCGTTGACGTTCGTTTGCGTTATTTTGCAGTGAAAGTGATTTGATTTGATTTCGATTCGGCTGCGTTTGTGTGCGTGCGCCACTTTGCGACTACGCAAGCCAACGAAAAGCAACAGTCAGTCACAGCAGTGTCGTGTAGTGCTTTATTTTTGTTTTTCTTCGCCATTAYTGTTGTTGTTGTGCATACACGACAATTTACCATTTTACTTAAAAATTGCAAATAATTTACAAAACCTTATTTTGGCATTGAATAAACAAATGTGTGCGCGCGCTGCTGTTTTATTTTCGTGGCAGACGTGAACTGTTAAAAAAAAAAAATTTAAAAAAATCAACGAAGCATTTGTGTAAACACGTCCGAAAATTAAAAATCAGCCATTCAATTGCCTCAAAGTGCTCAAGATTTACATGTCTATATTTATATCTGTATGATTTTCCAACCTTTCCATTTCGATTCCAATGTCTATAGGTGTATATGAATATTGCAAAGTGTGCGAAGAAAGTTAAGTTGAGAAAAGTGTTGCAGAAACGATTGTAGCGCGTTGTGCCGCAGATTTATCACAGTGCTTAAAGTATAATTGCGGATATCGTTCGTAGTAACAAGCTGCGCATTAAATACTTTTACTGCGATAACCGCATGCTGTTTTCGAAAAATAGGTGAGTGACTGAAGAGTTAACGTTTCGTATGCTTTTACTATCGAAAAACTTCAAATATTGCTTGGAATGTGATTTACATTTTTTTCCCTACTTTTTTTTTTTTTTTGGTATTTTAAGATACTCGCATATGTCATCAACTGTAGTATGCGTAGCAAATCTTGGAAATTTACTTCAGAAGTTTTTCGCTCAATACTCTCAGTAACAACTTTCTCTTTATTCTGATAATGTGATTTTGAAAGTTTTCTCCTTGAGGACAAAGAAAAGAAATATTAATAAGGTCAATATTGGGAGGGGGCATTCATTTCAAGAAAGACGCCATGGTCTCCTCATCAAACGGACGTTTACGTTCGGTGAAAGGTTTCAGATTATACATTTCATAATGTCTACATTTTCTTGAAATTATTGACTTTAAATAATTAAATTTCTGCCGGTCTGTACTTTATGAAAGACCAAGGCAAACTCGTACTATCAAGAATAGAATCTAAGATCATGCCAATATGAAACAAATCATTCAGACAGAAGATACTTTAATATTTGAAGAAACTTTTTTACTTATTGACAGTTGGCTGATTTTAGAATTATTCTGGAACCACCTAGATAATAAAAGGTATATTGATATTGGAAGTATTATTTTAATAGTTATATTCACATAAATAAAATCAAACATTTTTGTTCTTACTGCATAATGTAGACGCTATGTAATGTTGTGAGTGCTCCAAACTGGAGCCGCATACCAGGTCTTTTATTTTTGAGCCCTTATTCAACTTAACAGAATATTGACTGAATACGGCGCTGAACACTTAAAATAACCATATAAAGTATGACTGGAGTCCTTTACCAAATTTGTCTGGGCTTTTAGTTTTAAGCACTTATTCAGCTGAACAGAATATTCGCTGAATCAGGCGCTGAATACTTAAAATAACAATATAAAGTATGACTGGAGTCCTTTACCAAGTTTTTCAGGTCTTTTAGTTTTTAGCACTTATTCAGCTGAACAGAATATTCGCTGAATCAGGCGCTGAATACTTAAAATAACAATAAGAAGTATAGCTTGGGCCCCATACCAAGTTACCTAGGCCTTTAATTTCCAATACTTATAGAGCTGAATAGAAATATGGCTGAATAAGGCGCTGAACACACAAAATCACCGTATGAAGTATGGCTGGAGCCCCACATCAATTTACCAACCCTCTCTTTAGAAATAAGTGCTCATTAACGTGGAAGAACCATATGGTATGGAGCATGCCATAGACTCCGATATAAAAATACTCCGAAATGATTTCGAAACAAGAAAGAACGTTACCCTCGGCTGCATCTGAATCAGGCGCTGAAGTCAGTCAATATCCTCACAACTTGTATATAATAAAATTTGGTCAACATGACGTGCTGGGTCGATTTGGCCATATGAGCCTGTCTGTCAGACTATACGCCGGTCTGTCTGTATGTATATCTGCAAACTGGTCCATCAGTTTTTGAGATATTTTACATCAGACTTTTTCTTCTTAAGATGATGCACTTTTACCGTAACCGGAACCGGAATCTTATACTACATATAATGCTGACACTGATCGATCAAACCGAAGTTCTTGAACGGAAAAGTTTTTGTTTGATACTATATCGTGACGATATTTATGGCAGATTTACATATAAGGCGGAGCTATAGTGTATGTACATATTGTTCTGATCAGACCACTATAGCGCATAGTTGTTATTTAAACTGACCGATACAAATCAAGTTCCAGTATGGAAATATTTTTATTCGAGAAGGTATCTTCACGAAATTCAACACAAAGCATTTTCGAAGGTAACGCTGCAATCTTTGAAGAACTTGTTCAGATCAGACCAATAATGCTAATACTTAACACTCAAGCTGACTTATCAAAATAAAGATAAAGTTATTTTCATGCCCTAGTATGCTATAAAAAACACACCTGGGAAGGTTATTATAGATTCGATGCAGCCGCGGGTAACGTTCTTTCTTGTTTCGAAATCATTTCGGAGTATTTTTATATCGGTGTCTATTCCTCTTTGCTATAAAATCTTGTAATGTCACAACGCAAATGTTATAGCACTCATCATAAAGAGAAAAACCATAGTCATATCCGCTTCTTCGTTGCCTCAAATTACTGTTATTCATTAAATTTTTCCTCACACCATCAGCTGTCGAATATGATGAATGATGCGCTGAAGTAACACCATAAGGGTATGGCAATTAAACGGCGTAACTTTGTGCCACAAAAAGTAAAACAATAATTATTTGCAACAAAATCAAACAACAATAGCAAAAAGTATTTAACGAAAGCATTGCAAAATCAGCACAGAAATTGCAACAATATTATCTAATGCGCTTGCAGAGCTAAATCAAAAATGGGTAAGCATAATTGTTGCTATTGTTTTACCACAAAAGTGTCGCAAGTGCTCGCTGAGACACAAGAAGCGGCCAAAAAAAGACAACCCGTAAAGGGAGTGTTAATAAAACTAAATGGAGGCAATTAGTGTGAACTAATAAAAAAATGCCTGCTACATACGCAAATCGACGAGACAAACAACAACAGCAAACATAAACAATACTGTGAAGAAATGATTACCAGTTGCACACACAAAATTGAGTTGTGAGTGAAATGTCTGTGTGTACGTGTGTAAATAATATAAATATAAAACAATGAAAAAGACATCAGCGAAATGAAAAAATAAAACAACAACTGCAGCGACCTAAAATGCACGCAGTTTTTGGCATTTTTATTTGCCGCAAGCAGTGCCGACGAAATTTCATTGCATAATTTTCATAAAGACCCTATTACGTGCGGCGCACGAAACCTGCGCGCACATCTTCAGCCAAAAACGCCAAAAACTTGAAGTGGAAAATTATGTACTTAAGCTTCGAAGCCAGTTTATAAAACAGCGGCAGTACTCAAGCGGTAGCTGGTACGCTTCGAAAAAGGGCCAATAAGTCAAGTGCAAATGCGGAAATTCGTGAAATATAACTAGAGCGCTGCCGAAAATAAATATGGGGCCACAAAGAAAAAATAAATAAACAAAAAAAAAAAAA